TGAGGTCGTGACCTGGCTGAAGTCGGACGCTTAACCGACTGCGCCACCCAGGCACCCCTTTGAGTATTTTTTAAAAAAAATGTTTCTTCTGGTAAACTGCAGAACCTTCCCTTGAAATTTAACATACTATACATTCACACCGGGATTACTGGAACTGCAAGAGTCGAGCTCTCTATTGAAATGTGGTAATAGGCACACCAAAAAAAAAAAAAAGGTTTTGTGGGAAAGCAGCGGGGAGTGGCAGTAATTTGCAAAGCCGGTTAATACCACCCAAGAAGCTTTTAAGACAGCTCTTGTTAAGAGTAAGGTGCGGTGGGGCCACAAACATGTGACGGATTTGGATTGCCCCAGTCCTCCTGGAACTCCTGATCTAGAAGGGACAGGTCCGAGGCCATCGTAAAAGAAAAGAAGATGGGCATGAGCACAGAAGTGCCACGAGAATTGCGGAAGGTGCCAGACCCGGGAGACAGGACTCATAAACGTTAGGGGTTACGGAGCCTGAAATCGTTGCAGGGCATGGGAGCAGTGAGAGAAGAGGTGTCAGTGTGCGCAAGGACACAGGAAGGGGGTCCAAGAGGGGCATCCTTTCCCTGCAGCCAGGACAGAGTTTCCTAGGCGGGGCTGGAAGGCGACAGCGAAAGGGAGACGCGCCTCCCCAAGAGTTCTGCCTGGGGCTGCGGGGTGCTCCCACCCAGGTCTCACCTGGGCAGCGAAGCGTCCTGGAGGCAGCGAAGCGGCGGAGACTGCCTATTGCCCGGGAGGCCACCATCTTGAGCTGAAGAGGACGAGTGGAAAGCACTCAGGTGGGGGCTGCGGGTGGAGGATTTTTCTCCTTCAGCCTGGCCCCATCCAGGCGCCCGACATACTGCCTGACTAAAACCCCCAATGTCGAGTTGCCCTGGCTCCTTGCCGTGCCGTTCGCTTCCAGCTAACAGGGCGGGGAGGACTCTTTCTCCGCTGGAAGGAAGGAGGCTCATGGAGGAGGAGGCGCAGTGCTCGCTTTTCCATACAGGCGGCCAGTGGGCAGCCCGCGGAGTTCACTGGCGGGAGTGAGGGGTCCTTTTGGGCAGGACCCGCCCCTTGGTCACGTCTAGTCCAGGCACTTGGGTTAAAACCTTGCTTGCCCGCAGCGAGAGCCGGAGAGGACTGAGGCTAAGGTGAGTCGAGGCGTGCGCTTGGCTTTCCGCCTGGTCTTTCCCAGCGGCGACATCTGCCTTTTCTTTCCCGTCTACTGCATCAGTAGCCGCGGCCGCCTCCCTTCTCGCGGGGAGGGGAGTTCCAGGGAGCGAAAGGAGGCCCCTCGGACAGGGTTTCCAGGACCAGTGCAATAAGGACAGTAACTGGGACTTGCTCGAAGTGGGTAGCTCTGAGTAGCGGTGTCATCTGTGTCTTTAAACTTATCACCGCAAGTTAACGAATTCTTTGCTCGTGTGTCGGCATAAAGCGCTGGGCTATGTTGCGTTGTGTGTTTTTGTTTCATCCGTTTTGCCTGTAGCCAGGTCAGCGGCAATAGAAATTTAGAACGGGGAGTTGGGATTACCTTACACCGGCTACCTGGAGCGGGGCTTGGTCACGTGACCTTTCGGGCCTCCAGTGTGGGAGGAGTAGAGCTATTCTTCTATCCTGCTGGGAGAGCCAGGGTTCCAGAGGATTTTCCAACGTAGGAGGGGCCTGGCCATCATCTGGTCATTTATCCACTTTATCGATGAAGCCCGTGAATCAGCGTCAGCGGGCTCATCCATGGCCACAGGTGGTGGAAATAGCACTAGAGCCGCTCTACTAACTTCTAGTCACGAGCTCTACATTGCATAATAGTTTTTTGTGTGTTGAAAAGAAGGGTTCGAGGCCTTAATGCAATTGATTCCAAAACGAAATAACGTTAATTTGCAAAAAGGATTCTTGATGATCTCCAGAAGCCCTCCAGCTCATAAGATTTTCTTTTTACAGTTAAAAGCTTGTCTCCTGCCGTCATAATGCTATCTTCTGCATATAATTACGTTTAGCCACATTATTTATTTATTTATTTATTTTTTATTTTTT